ATGTGGTAGCCGTGGTCCGCGGTGTAAATGATGTACGTGTTGTCCAGCTCGCCTGTCTCCACAAGCATGTTGTACAGCTAAAAAATAGCACAGCATGGCAACCGGGGTGCTTGAAGTAACACCCCAGTGTCACCAGTTTCCCTTGCATCTTTTTTCTTTTATTATTTCTAAAAGCCAAGAATTACTTTAATAAGGCCCCCAAACACAATTTTTAATCATTTATAGTCCTGGAGGGAAGACATTTTATGTTGTAGACAAAACACAACTTTTTTGAATGTGGCGTATTTTATGTCGAGGTTGTGTTTGCTTGGTAAAACAACAAGCCACACAATAACAACAAGCCACAAAACAACTTAAATTTTATAAATTTCACTTTGACAATCTATTATTAAAACAATAATGTCATCACTTGTATATGCAACTATGAAGGGTCAAAGATAGGCTGCTTCTAACCCTGATCAAGGTAGATCCAGCTTGTCTTATTTGGCTTGTATGCTAGATCTTTTTTTTTTTTTTGAGACAGGATCTCATTATGTAGTCTAGACTGACCTTGAACTCACTATGTAGCCTAGGCTGGCCTCAAACTCATGGCAATCCTCCTGCCTCAGTCTCCTAAGTGCTGGTTATGCTAGATTTTTAAATTCAGAAAAATTTTGTGAAATCCTTTATAAGTAAAAAATTTGTTCCTCGAAGAAATTAGTTCAAACAAACTGTACATACAATAAATAAAAAAAAATTAGGAAATTTCGAATAAAGATGTTTTTGTTTCTGGCCTCTTAAAAAGCCAGAAATACTGATGGCACTTGACTCACATTTCTACATGGTAAAAATTAGTCTAAGCTGAGTAGCTGTTGCTTGCTTACACAGGACAATTAATAAGTTCCTCACAATCTTCACAATCTCTACTGCTTCAGTTGTTTACATTATTTGATTGCTTTCTAAAGGCACGTAAGGGTACAACCCCTAATTGATAAAGTTTTTAGTTTTTCTCCTCCACTGCTAACTCCTTAGGAACCAAACCTGGAGAAATGGAATGGGGGTCTGGTCATGAACACACAGAACGTAATGCTTGGCTGAAATGAACAAGCAGGATCAACAAGCATGCCAACTCAAGGAAGCCAGAAGACAGAGCCTGCCACTGGGACAGGCTGTGGGCTCACCCTTTCCACGGAATCATCCACTGACATCAAAGTCTGGAGCCTCTTGCGCTGTAGGACATTTGTAAACTCCATGTGGATGGGCAGCATTGGCCCTGTGTACTGCATAATCCAGTGCTTATCCATATTTGGGGCGTAGTTATAACTAGGAGTTCTGAAAATACCCAGAAAGAAGTCTTATTATGTATGCATTTGCTTTATTTAGTAATTTAGAGAAGTAAATCGAAATTTATGAAATAATCACTTAAGAAAGATAATTTAGACGCTTATAAAGTAGTCTTTTCTCCCAAGCATCTCCTGTTGTGTTTATAAGAAGACCCAGAGTCCTCACCCCTCGGATCTCACGTGTGCTCCCATGGTGCACCAGGACTGGCTGCTGAGTGGGTCCTGAGAGCAAGTTCATTTAGGCTCATTGAGTAAAAATGGAAGAAACACATCAGGATGATGTTACAAGTCTACAGATAAAACTCACTAATACAGAAGAGAATGTTCTCAAGGTGATGTTAACTTATAAAAATTTTACCGCTAATTAAGCTATTAAATACAGTCACAGATTTGTGGCATGATGATCAATTACAATCTCAACACATTTTCTCTCTGGAATTTCTGAAAGCACTTTATAGATTATGTATATAAAAATAGATCTATAAGGTTTTTTCCTATATGCCTAATTCTGTACATTTAAACCATTAATTTAACTATATTTACTGGAATTATAGCCAAGACTACTATTGCAATATACATCCTTTCATCTAATTTATTCACTTCATAGAGAACTCAGTACAGATACAGGGCAAGACTTTTCTAAACCATGGGGAAGTATATCCTACTGCTCTACAGTGGATGAGCGGTGAGTTCAGGCCCACACTTAATCTACTGCAAGTGGTGTCAGACACATTCCGCTGGACACTCACAAAGGATGCCACTGCTCTGTAAGTCTTCCCAGCTGCTGTAACCATTCGATGCTCTCATATTTCCCAAAGGGCAGACCTGTGATAGAGCAGATCTTACCCTGAGAAGTATTCGTTTATACTTGAACTGAATTCTCCACTAGACTATAATCTGCTCAAACCTTCCCTTTAAACATTATTAAATACATAGACGTTGCATTTACCATTTGCGCAGTATTGTGCCAAGTAACTATATATGCAAACTCGTTCAACTATCTTGGCTGTTCTGGGAAGTCGACGAGAAACGAGAAAACGAAGTCTTGCTAAAGTTAAATAACTGCTCCAAATGAATAGCATAGTAGGTAGTAGACTCAAGGCAGCATTCCAAAGCTCACTTTCTTAAAACAAAATGACCAGAAAGTGAAAGCAGGCACGCTTCCTATACCTGGGGTTGCTGTAGGTCTAGCTTCACCCACCACCTGTCTGACAGACTAAACCACAGTCTGTACTGATTGAGAAATGTGAAGCCCATCTCTATTCCAAGGACTCCTGCCAGAGAAGGAAGGACTGTAGACAAGAACAGCTGAACAGGACCCCTGGCCACCTTCCATATCATAAAGCTAGAGAAACGATCAGTCACTATGGGCTCAGTGCTTTAAGGGACTTCACCAAAGCCCCTATTGAATCTGTGGGATGAGAGTAGCCCATGAGGAAAAACTATGTTTCTGACCTGTAAGCGTTGTGCCCTAGGATGTTCCCGCGTTCACTAAGCCGTAAAAATGCTGCCAGTTATTACACATTTTCCTAGGCTGGTTACAGAACCTCTCTTTGATAATAAAAACGCTGGAATAGTACCATTCACCTCCTTGCCAGACGAAGTTATCCTGATGTCAGTATGAATGTCGATTACCTAGCAGACCTGAAGCAGCACACATACCACTGAAGCTTCAGAAGACATCATCCCTAAAAACGAGTACTCCATACCCAGAAGCGTAAGTTGACGCTAGTGTAAAGGGACAGTGTTATAGAGCAGAAGAGAGGCTGAGGCTTGATTTGCTCTTCTGTAAATGGGACTCACACATCACTCTTGTTCTGATGCACAGCATTTAAACCTGTCTAGAACAGGCCAGGCATGCTGGCACATGCCTGTAGTCCCAGCGCTTGAAAGGCTGAGGCAGGAGGATCGCCTTAGCTCAAGGCCAGCCTGAGCTGCACAGTGAGTTCAACACAAACCTGAACTACATAGTGAGACTCTGTCTCAAAAAAAAAAAAATGTCTGGAACAGAGGACCACAGGTTTGCTCCATTGACCAATGAGCAACCACACTTCACATAACTATCTGGGTCGAGAGAAATAAGACAGTGTTAAGACACAAACTCTTTTAAGAGGCACTTGCTGTTATTTCAAAGAGAAGCTTGAAATATAAACTTCTTTTTGCCAACTTAATAAATGGTTCATGAAGCAAATGGTCCTGTGTTTTTGGCCCCACATCTCCAAGGGAGCTGCCCTCGGATGGGAGGCGGGCAGGGACTGCAGCGGAGATGCCCATTCTCCATGCAGCATGTCATGTTACAAACAGGATTAGATTCAGAGGTTGAGAGGAGGAAAAAGGGGCTTCTAAATCCCCTTGCAAAAGGGCTTTTTCACCTATGGGGGTCATCTGAGGTCAGAGAAACATGGCAAGCTGGCTGTGAAAGATCCCCTAGCCATTTACTGATACATGTCCTGCACATAGACCATAGCTCTGAAAGACTGTGCAGGATTTCTTTATTATAAACATCCTCCTCTTACTGCCTTTGATGTTGGGTCAGCTTAAATTAAAAATACGAGTGGACTTTTTTTTTTTAAGCCACAAAACCTCAATGCAAATAAAAATTACAATAGGAAACCAAGAGGAGGCTCATGATAGGCAAATTGTATCTTCCAGCAGCTACCTTGACATGCTGGTGTGGCCCTGCCTCACTCAGAGGAACTGGGAAGGTTGCAGTAAATTACAAGCCTCAAGCTGGACTCCCAGACTCAGAGAATGACACATGTTAAATCTGGCTTATATTAAAAGGGCCGAGTTCAGGGTCTGTTGTCAAAGATCCCCCCTCCCCCGCCAAATTTCTGAATATGGAAGATGACCTCCAGCTTGGGAGATGACATCGCAGGTGGATCCCAGCGGGGTGCTGGGAGGGGGATGTGCACGTGCCTCTTAGAGGAAGACAGACTGCTACTGCCTCCCCAGGACAGCAGCTGCTCAGGACCTGCAGGTGGAAGGTGGAGAGTTGCTGGAATTGACAATGTTGTTGAAAAGTGATCTTTTGCCAAAGCGCTGTGGTTGCCTCCTGCTGAGGTCTGCCAAATTCCTTGAAGATGCAGCCTTCTGTCCGCAGTGATAATTAAGGCTTGCTTGCCTAACTGAGGATCGACTTAAAATTATTCAAACAGGGCCTGGACCTGTCAGCTGGAACACAGGCCACTGAAGACGCTGGGAACAGTTTAACATTAAAGTGGAAAATGACATACTGCTTTCTCCCGTAATGCTTTGGAATCAGAGTCAAATTTTCATCCCAACTCTGCTACTTAATAGTTCATGATTCTGGCTAAGATTTTCTTCTTCTTCTTCTTCTTCTTTTTTTTTTTTTTTTTTTTTTTTTTTTGGTGGAATCAAGAATTGAACTCAGACCCTTGCACTTGCCAGGGAAGCACTTATTCCACTGAGCCATCTCCCTGTCCCCAAATATACTTTTTTTTTTTTTGGTGGAACCAAGGATTGAACTCAGGCCTTGTGCTTGCCAGGGAAGTGCTTATTCCACTGAGCCATTTCCTCGGCCCCTAAGATTTTCTTCTTGCTGTAAGGCTTAGTCTCCCCATCTTTGTAATGAGGACGAGTTTGAAGAATTCTTGTGAGGGTTAAGGGGGATGTCTGTGATGCCAGAGAGCAGGTTATGGGCCTCCATCATCCAGTCCCTTCACAGGTAGGCAGGAGAGAGTCCACAGCTCATGATGCCATCTTCTTTTCATTTTAAAAGTGTGAAGGCAAAGGCCTTGATGTGTCAGCTCTCAGCGGTGCTCCCTTTATGTCACGCTGTCAGAACCCCAGCCATGGAAAGAACTGATGTATACACTTCATCTAACAAGAGGAAGTCCTCTAAATCCTAAGCCTCTGTCCTTATTTAAAACATTAGTGGACCAGGTGTGGTGATATGCTTGGGAGACTAGGGTAGCAGAATTACATGTTCAAGGCCAGCCTGGGCTACACAGAGGCTACACTGAGAATGAAGAAAAACAGTGACTTCTGCTTCCCACTCATTCACTGCTGACTGTGGGCTTTCATTGCAAATATGGAACAAAAGCTTTCTCTGTATGTGTGTGTGTGTGAATAAAACTTTATTTATAAAAGCAAGCAGTGAACTAGATTTGGCTCAAGATTAGCTTGCTTTGGCCACATGGGAGGCACCATCTACACTCTTGTGGTGCACTCAGCAGTAATACTCGGGACGTAGACCCTTTCATTATCCTTATTTCACAAGTGGAAATTCAAGGGTAGAGTAGACCCGGCCATCTGTAGAGGATCACACAGCTCTGAGCTTCAGAAGCAGAATTCAAACCCAGGACAGTCTGTTCTATTCTAAGGAGTCAAATTTCAAGATAATAAGACTCCTGCTTATCTCTGTGAACACAAAAATTGCCTTGCAGGTATGTGATATTAGTATTTGTAGCACTAAGAATGGCAGGGATAGAGGGAAAAAGGAAACATTCTGCAGAAGACTAAATCTCCCAGGGTGAGGGAAATCTTCCTCCTCAGTGTGTTTACTGGGCATTCACTCAGTGGAGGAATGGACCCCACGATTATGGGAGGCCACATGGGCAGAGCAGACAGGAGCCCCACACGCCTCAGGGCACCTCTGCCCTGTCTTCTGCCTGGTGAGCCACAGTGATACATATGACCACTTCCACTCATTGGATTTGTCTCTTCCCAAAGTCCCTGGTGCTAGAATGTGCTCTCTTTTCAGCGAGAAATCTCAAAATACCTCTCACGTAGCCCCAGCCAGAGAATTTACTTTGAGGTTTACATACCAGTGACAGTCACAATGGTGCCAGCTTAAGAAGGACAGATTATGGCCCTAGTGAGGATTTCTTTACTTGATCCTTCAAAGGAGCCCATCTCATGAGACTCAATCAGGGATGCCTGGCAGAGACAGAGGGGAGCTGGGTGGGGAGCAGCCAGAGCCGAGGCCATGAAGACCCTGGGTTAGCTCGGGGCTGGGTCATTTCT